ATATTAAAAGAGATGATCGGCTGTAACCTGAATACTTTAGAGCTCAGTAAAGTTTTATTGAATTCTGTAAACACTAAAGAGAGGGGCTTCGGTGCTTCCTTTCTCATTGTCTGTACCGTGGGATGCGTTGGTCCGTCCCTTACCAAAGAAAAGGACGTCATTTCGTCTAAAATTCTTTGCAGCAGAAACATTCAAAGCGTCAACAACATCCGCTGTCTAAGTGCAGATGAATTCTCTCAGCAGTTTTCCTACACAACCTTTCTTTGACCTCATGATGTTTTATATCAAAGTGTTTAGAAAAATGCAGTTTTTTTTGGACTTATGTCTCATCCGTCCTTAGGAAACCTCAGGACGTCCCCCAGGATCAACAGATAGATGACGTCTGGTCACAACCCTGCACTTGTTTTACTCAGTACATTCTCCTACTTCGGCCCTGAATAGATCAGACGAATCAGCTAATAAATAGCTCTGCGTGTTTGATAAATCTAAATCGAACTCTGAGTCAAACTCCACCTTTAGATACAGAGATTTAGCGGTTATTAAATACAACGTAAGTACATGAGCTTTGACGAAGGCTGCTGCTGTTCAAGTCTGCACACAAGATCCATTCAGTGACCCAGACTGTGACCAAAAAAAAGGTTTATTTTAAATCAGTTTTGTGGTGAGACAGAGTAAAAACTTTATGTCGTGTTGATGTGAAAGACACCTTCTGTTTTCTGTTTGTGAACCCTGCAGCTCTCACCCAAGAAGACCTGGGAGGGTTTCATCGGCGGTTTCTTCTCCACTGTGGTCTTCGGCTTCCTTGTGAGTTCACTTCGCTCACGTGGTTTGCATTTTCTGAGCACAGTTTCCAAGTTCCCAGGGCAGGGAAAATTAGTTTCTGTGCACTGTTTTAGGAGCCGATAAGCCTCAAATGAAAAGAGGCTAAATTGTGGTTTGTTGTGTGTGTGGTGTAGATAAGAAAAAGCCTTTTCTGAGATTTCTGACTTGTTAGGGTTGTGATTGTGGCCAGTTTTTTCTGATCACGTGTCCAGTTTTCATAACAGTCACAGTTTCCTCCACAGCAAAGAATGTTAACTATTCTTTGTTGCTGACAGAAATTAGATTTTTATGATTTAATAACATGCCAGCCCACGTTTCCTGACCATTCCCAAGATAAGCTACAGTTATTTATTGTTTACTCGAATGCAGCTCGTGGTAACTCTGCAGAGGTACGAGCTGATGTTTTCCCGTGTTTTCTTGTGCTTTTGTTCGGCCCTCAGCTGGCCTACCTCCTGTCTCAGTTCCAGTACTGTGTGTGTCCCGTGGGGTTCAACAGCGAGACAAACGGGTTCACGGTCGAATGTGAGCCGTCTGATATCTTCGTGATGCAGGAATACACTCTTCCTGCCGTGGTGCAAAACACACTGAGATGGGTGAGAGTCTTTTCATTCCTTTTATGTTAAAACATTTGCATCAGCACCATTTCAAACAATATTAAATATTTCAGTAATATAACGTCACAGCTACACATAACGTCCACGTTGTAATCATCAGTTCGTCATATTCAACAGAACATGTAGTCGACTGTGAAGGCAGTAGCATGTACTGAAAGAAAAAAATCAGACAGAGCTTTGGAAAAAATACATTCTGCAGCATTTCTCTGTTCAATATAACTAAAAGTTAACACTACTGAGAATAAAAATAGCCACACTTTAATTTAAAGTTTGTTTCATATTTAATCTTGTTATTTTATTAACGAGTTCAACACATTAACACGCAGTTAACTACATAAAATCACCAGATATCCCAGTTTGTTGCAGAATTAAAATGAGGCTTTTTGCTGTTTTTAATCAAGTTACATTTCAATATTTGTTCCATCTTTTTTTGTCTGTCTTTTAGAAAACGGTGAACCTGTACCCCTTCCAGATCCACAGCATCTTCCTCTCGTCCTTCGCGTCGCTCATCGGTCCGTTCGGTGGCTTCTTCGCCAGTGGCTTCAAGCGAGCCTTCAAAATAAAAGTAAGAAGCATCTTAGCTTATTCCTTAATTTTGTCTCCTCTCTAGTTCGGGAAGGCTGCAAGGTGGATCAGTGGTTTGCACCGTTGCCTTGCAGCAAGAAGGTCGCCGTTTCACATCTTGGTGAGGACACCTGGGAGTTTGCATGTTCTCCCCGTGCAGCAGGTTCTCCGGAGAGGTTAATTGGTGATTCTAAATTGTCTGTAGGTGTGAATGTGAGTGTGCTTGGTTGTCTGTCTCTAAGTGTGGCCCTGTGATAGACTGGTGACCTGTCCAGGGTGTCCCCTGCCTTCACCCTGAGTCAGCTGGGATAGACTCCAGCCCCCCAGGACCCTAGTGAGGATTAAGCGGTGTATAGATAATGGATGGATGGATAGTGTGGGAAGGCTAGTTTCCTTTCCTTCATCTGAGCTGTGTTTAGTCTTGTTCCCTCGTCTTTATGCATCATTTTTGTTTATTAAATGTGTTTTTTAGGTGAGATTTAAAAGCGATTAGTTTGTTTTTCATTTCAGTGCCACAAGTTAGCAATTAGAACCTCTGCAATGGTACTGTGTCAGTTTCTGCCATTATTTTAGTTTTTTTTTAACATGCTGAGCCCCAAGCAGTTTTTGACCCACTGTGGTCTCATTTTTCACGGCCTGCACCTCTGTGGAAACAGTATAATCATGGCTAGAAGTAGAAAGAACTCAGAAATGTCTTCTGTTTAGTATGGCAGTTATATTGCCATCAATCATTAAAAAAAAACAAGTATTTATTGTTTATTTCCATACTTGACACTCCTCTGCTCTGTGTAAACGCTATGAGATGACTTGTTGTTGTAAATATGCGCTATACAAATAAAATTGAATTGAATTGAATTGTAAACACTGCCTGCAGTTCAGCCCAGTTCTGCCAAAAATTCCCTGAATTCTTGTCACATAGCTGTTGGTCGTAGCCGATTCACTGATGGCTTCACGGTTGCGATGAGGAGCACAGAATCTTTTTTATTTTTACAGGATGTGGTTCAAACAGTTTATTTCTGGTGAGCCATTTTGATGAGCTGTTACGACCGTAAACTTGGTTAAGTTTCCCTTCGGACTCGCCAGTTTTTTATGGTTAGTGCTTCTGAGAAATGGTGTAACTATGAAGATCTTTTTTTTTTTTAAGGATAAAATGCTTTCTGAGGTTGAGAGGTTTAACACTGAGGACGACTCACCGGAGCTCCTCTTCAACCTACAGGCTCACAGTCAGATTAGTTTGGCAGAGACAGCGGATTATTGCAGAAACCGGTCGGACCACTTTACAGGAGCTGAGACGTTATTTATAGTGACGGGTGGCTCGGCACTGTTTTGTTTAGTCCTTCACACGGCACTACACTTTCATTACCGCGGGCCGTGGAGGTAAACTACCGGCGGCCGGCGAGCGGCGCCGTGACTGTCAGCTGGGCTTCATCACTGCCTTCACGCTCCCTCTGCTGGGAAAAGCAATTTCTCAAACAACTGAGCCACTTAATGTTTGAAATCAGTGTTTCTGAATTGTGCTGCCTGCCTGTGTAGCACATCTCCACCTAGTGACACCGTACAGTATGGTATCAGGAAAATGCAGCACGGAAACACCAAAAATACACAAAAAAATGCAAATTAATACATCTTTGTGAGGATATCTCGGATGACCAGTCTACACAATTTTTTAAAAAAGGACAAGAATAATCCGGTTAAATCATATTTCTGCAATAAAATGTTTAATTTTAGCTGCTTGGGCTCAGATGTTACAGCATCCTGGTTTTTTGTCTGCTTCAGGACTTTGCCAGCACCATCCCGGGCCACGGCGGCATCATGGACCGCTTCGACTGTCAGTACCTGATGGCCACGTTCACACATGTCTACATAGCCAGCTTCATCAGGTAAGAAAAAGAAAGAAAAAACGCTTAGATGGAGAGCTGTTTGATAGAAAAAAAATACTATTTCTGTTGTGCGTCAGTTCTCATAAAGCTTCAAATGAACTTAGAACATGCACACTAGCATGATGTTATCGCAGTACAAAAAGCACAGCAACAGTTTTTAAGTAAAGAACCAA